TGTGCCACGCCGGCCACACAACCCGGCAGGTCATCAAGGCATGACATCTCGGCTCCCGGAGAGCTCCTCAAATGCCAGCCAGCAGCCCTCAACCACCCCTGCTTCTCCCAGACCCTGCAAAGACGCCCGGGACGTAGCTGAGCCGACGGTGCGTCTGGGTGTTGGGTCCTGGCACAGCTCAGGCCCTCACGATGGGAGGCCACGCAATGCCCGGCGCAGGCAGGAGAACCACGAGCCCTGCGAGTCCGGCACAGCACAGAACATGGGTGCTTTCCCGTAATGGGATTCGGTGCCAAACCACAACCAGCCCGAGGCAGGACCTGCCAGGGAGCCGCCTCTCGTCCGGCCGCGCCCCTCCAAGCACACCGTGGATGAGGATTACAGCGCCAAGCCACACAGAGCGGACGGGAGTGTTCACCTGCGAGAAATCGGAGAGCAAAATCAGTGGCCGGAGCATCCGCCAAGGGGACCTCAGGAGGGCACAGGTGGTGGACACGCCACTCCCTCCCAGAGGAAAAGAGACAACCTTGACATGGAATCTCGTCACGTCCTCCCGGACCAGCCTCCGCCGCAGTCCCTGCCTCTGCGAGAGAGAGGACCGCGCAGGAAATCGGGTGTCTCTGGGCTCAGCTGTGCCCAATACCACGGAGCCACGTGCCGAGAAATCCCATTAAGAGGCGCAGGCCAGGCGGGGACTCTCTCGGGAGGTGCCCACGGAGCCCACGCCCCAAGCCCATGTGACTCTGCGCTGCGCCACTCCCTCGCCGGGTCCATGTCTACACGGCCAAGTCTCTGAGGTTCCACCCACTCACGCTGCGCCCGGCATGGGCACCACCACGAGTGCCTTTCAGTGATGTTCCCATCCTCAAACCCGTCACGCTAATCGCACGGACCAACCTGTTGGAAGGAAGTGCTATGAGTCACCGCCACCGTGCACGGAAGGGGACTCCTCAGCCAGACACGCGTCGAAGTGCCAGAGCCGCTCCATGGCCGTTCAGCTCGGCGGGAACTGCGCCGTTCAGCGGCGATGGAACCCGTTTCCCTTCCTGACCCGCCGTGTGGCCAGAATTGTGCCCCCAGCTTCGTGTTTCCAAAGTCACTTTGACTCTCCAGCCACCGCTCTGCAGCTGCTCGAAGTGCCTCAGAAGCAAACAGGAGGGGGACACGTGGCAGATGGCCTGGGCTGGGCTTGAACGGCGGTAAGTGCTGCTTCGGGAGCACTGGGGGGGGACATTCGCTCCGCTCAGAAACACGTCTGATCTGAGACACGAAAACAGTCTCATGGTTCCCATGCAATGCAAGACGGTGAAGCCAGGCAATGAGGAGCTGCAGGTCTGCCCAGCGTGTCCTGGGCTGCGCTGGGAGCCAAATGAGGAAGAGCTGAAATCTGGAATTTTACACCTAAAAGCCGTCGCCAAACACTTAACCATATCCTCACCAATGCTGCTGGCAAATAAAGAATCACTGTTGGGCCTGGCCGAGATTTGGAGTGAAGAACAAGCCAAAGTCTGCCTTCACCCTAAACGTGTGGGTTTTCTTCCTTTCAGGTGTGCGAACCATTCCCGGTGGCAGGTGCTGAGGGGGGACCCGGTCACTGGGGACGGGGCGGCTGGGCCGTTGGCTATCAGGTTCCACCAGCAGCCAACTGTCCTCGCAGAAATCTCCAGCAAGACCCACTTTGCAAAGAACATCTGCAGAAAAGTAGCGTTAAAATGCAATTTTGCTGGGACTCATTAACTTCACGAGCTCCTCGTTCTTCCTCAGAGATCAGAGACTGGCGAGTGGCCATGAGCAGCCATACCGTGTCGGCGTAAGAGACTCAGCGCAGGCTCAGGGAGGCCCCCTCCCCCGCCCCACACAGAGGGGACCGGCCAGTCCCCAGGAAGGAAACGCACAGCTCCGGGCTCCGCAGCCTCGGTTTGGGGTTGGAACAGGCGCGCTGAGGAGTGTCCACAACCCGCACCGACAGCAGCTTCCAATCACCGTGTGATTTCTGAACTACACACCCGACGTGGAAGGGGGCCGGAACGTTCCGAGCACTGGCAGAGTCTCCTTTCCATGCTCACTCGTACTCCCGCGTGTCTCAAGGAGCGTGAAAAGAAAGGGAGATAAAAACTCAGGGAAAAGAGGGGAAGGAAACCCTCCACTCCCCGCGTAGCGCAGGGCAGCGCTGGACTCCACGCCCGATTGTGGAGACACGGCTGGGAGCCCGTTGCCCGGCTGTTCCCGAGTCCGGCTCACACAGGTCTGAGGCGTGATCCACGTGGTCAGCAGAGACATGGAGGCTCCACTGTGCCCACCGCTCTGCACAGACGGCTGGAGGACAAGGTGCCGGCAAGTCGGCCAGGACAGGAGCCACAGTTAAATCTGAGACACGGGACTTCCCCACTAGTCAGCTAGAGGAAATGAGAAGACAGCCTGGGGTGAGGGACCCCCAAAATGCAAATGTTAAGACACCAAAGGAGGCCACGCGAGGCGGCTCACGCCTGTAATCCGAGCACTCTGGGAGGCCAAGGCAGGCGGGTTGCTCAAGGTCCGGAGTTCGAAACCAGCCTGAGCGAGGCCCCATCTCAACTAAAAATAGAAAGAAATTAATTGACCAACTAAAAATATATATACAGAAAATTAGCTGGGCATGGTAGTGCATGCCTGTAGTCCCAGCTACTCGGAAGGCTGAGGCAGGAGGATTGCTTGAGCCCAGGAGTTTGAGGTTGCTATGAGCTAGGCTGACGCCACGGCACTCACTCTAGCCAGGGCAACAGAGTGAGACTCTGTCTCAAAAAAAAAAGATACCAAAGGAAACAGGAGCCAAGAGCGAATCTTCCAGACGACGGTGGGCAGCAGGGAGGAGCCTGTTCTGCCCATGACCCGCTGTGGGCTGCGGGTCCCAGGACCCCCCACTGCATCCTCCCCGGTGGCCTCGGGGTGCCCTGGGGACACAGTGAGCCCTGGGGATGGCCCTGGCCTCTGGGCCCAGGGACTTCTCCCCCTCGGCCCCGGCTGTGCCGCCCAGGGCAGCCCACACCGCGCCTCTCCCTGAGCGCTCAGCGCGGACTAGGATGTCCCAGCGGCAGAGAGCTCAGCGGTCAGCACCTCGGACGCCCCCACCCCCACTCTCGGACACGGAGAAATGGCCACTGCAGTGTAAAGGACCTCAAAGAGTTAAATTCGGCCTGCTGCCTGCCCTTCAGCTAAAATAGCAAAGCTGTTCCCTGTAGCAATGGACAATAATTCTCAGATAACCTGTGATCGTTTTAATCGTTTCCAGCCATGCAATGTGTTGTGTAGTTAAAAATTTACCATGACTGCTGAGTCTGTAAAAGAACGTATTTTGGTTTTGGCTATGGGCTAGTCCTTTCTGCTTCTGTAAGCCTGCTTGCCTACAGATTGTTACCGGGTGGTCCGAGGAGGGTCCCGGACCCCGCAGCTGTGGAAAACAGGACGTAAGGCTGTTCCAACCCTGTGACTCAAGTCATGTGGCCCCTAACTTGGGCCGGGTTAAAACCTCCCTGCTTTTTCGGCTCGGGGGCTGCTCCCCTTGCCTGCCTCTCAGCAGTGGAGGGGTGGTCGCTGGCCAGCTGATAGAGGCTCACAATTTGGCTCAATTCGCTCTGAAGCGGTCATTTTTCGCTCTCCGGTCCATAACAGCAGGACCCTCAAGGCCAGAGATGCGAGGCCAAGCCCGAAATCCACGTGGACTCGGCGCCTCGCCTGCTCCCCCGTCCTCTCGCTCATCCCCACTCTCGCCTCTGCAGCAGCGGCGCCCTCATTCCCACCCTCCGATCCAGGAGAGGTCTAAGAGCTCACCTGGGTCCCAGGCCTGGAGGTACCACGGGGCCCCTCCCTGCCCCGTGGACTCTCACGGGCTGCCACGCGGCCTGGAGCGCTCTGTGACGCGCACACGGGGATCCCACGCGTGACGCAGAGCCCACGGCAGCAGCCCACGCACCTGCCTGTTCTCTGGCCCTTACTAGGCGGCTGCCCGGTGAAGAGAAGCAGCAGCAACACGAGAAGCTGCGTCGATCGCTCTCTGCGCAGCGGAACTCAAGAGCAACGCGGGCGTCACTTCCAGGAGCGTCCACCTGTGGACACTGATGGCTCCCAAAGTCTGCAACTGTCACACGCCAGCTCCTGGCATCCAAGTGGACACCGCTTCACGCAAACACAGACCACATCCACGACGGTTGGAGAAGAACATTAGTTAAAGAACTGACTCAAAGGAGAAAGCGCGGGCCCTGGCACTCTCCTCGCGCCCGGCAGCCCTGGCAACCCAGACCCCAACCTGTGCAGGTCTAACGCCTGGGAGCGCAGAGCCTCCGTGGGCTCCTGGGCTCTTTAGCTGGATCGCAAACACCCGAGGGGTGGGCAGCTCACGGGGGACGGCGCCCCACCAGTCCCTCCTGCTGGGTCACCTGTACGTTTTATTTTCCACTGACAAATACTGTGCTTCCCCAAAAATAAGACAGGGTCTTATACTTATTTTTCCTCAAGAAGACACCCTAGGGCTTGTTTTCAGGGGATGTGTTATTTTCCCCTCAAAGCCTCAGCTTGCAGCAGGCACAGGATGGCCGGGACCTGACGGGGAGCCAATCTTGTCACCTCTGGGACAGTTGCTGTCACGATGGGGCAGATGAGAAGGGCTGCTCATCTTCTTTAGGGCTCCGTGACCAAATGCATGGGTTGTGCAGATGCACTACGTAGCCACACCCATCACTAGGTCTTATTTTCGGGGTGGGGCTTACATTGTGCAAATGCTTAGAAATCCTGCCTGGGCTTATTTTATGGGTAGTCTTATTTTCGGCGAAACACGGTAATTGCATATGTTTGTGGGGCACAGAGTGGTGTTTCGATGCATGTGCACATTGTAGGGTGACCAAATCAGGCTGCTCAGCCAGGTCTTGGCCTCTCAAACCTCGCTCGCTTCAGCACTTCCACGAATGCCCTCAAACAGACGTTCTCCGTATAGCGTCTTATCTAGCGTTTCCAATCATTCTCTGCAGGAAATCGGATCCAATCAAAGCAGATCGTTACAGCCAAGAAGTCTATAGCTCGATTCTGATCATTCTTAATTTTCTCGGGCGTTGGTAAGTATGAATCCATGCGATGTGAAACTCCACTGTAGGCTGATACCCAGCTGGTTAGCACAGACAGGGCTCAGCAGAATTTCCACCGTGTGACGGCTCTGTCGTGGAGGCTCTCGGCGGGGTCAGCAAACTGCCCTGAGACCACCCGTCACCACGCAGGCCCTGGGCTCTCTGCGCAGCAGACATTAGCCAGGGACTGAGCGGGGGCCACAGGCCTCACTGGGTGCGTGTTTGAACACGGGAGGACAGACCCTCGGGCTGCTCCGCAAGGGGTTTCCGGGGACTTTTTAGAGGCTCCGGCGGGAGTAGGCTGACACATGGGCACGTGGAGGAGAGATTTTCTTTTGCCTGCGTGATTGTATGACAGGCTTCTTCCTGCGTGTGAGTCTCCTTAGCATGTTCAATCTCCACCCCTGCAAATGATTTTTCACGTTAAAATGAGGGAAAAGGTCCACAGGTGTGAGCCTCAGGCTCTGTGGTGGCCGCTGCCACCTGTGTTCCTGCGGTCTGTGTTCCTGCGGCTGCGCCGTGGGCCGCGCCATGGCTGCGCATCCGTGGGAGAAAGCACACGGTTCCGCTGCGGCTGGCGCGAGTCCTCCCAAGGCTTTCGTCCGCTGTCGGAAGCCCTGGCTCAAGGCTCAGGCAGGCGCCAACATCCAGCTCTCTCACCCGGCCTGGCCTTTTATCGCAGGCCTCCGAGACAGGCATGACTTCTGCATTTTACGGGGTTGTTTGTTGGTGGAGGAGGAGCCCCAACCTTGCGCGGCCCTCGGAGCCAAAAGGCTCATCCCCTGCCCCCTACAGACAACGTTCGCCGACCCGTCCTGGACCACCGCTCACTCTGCTAAACGTCAAGTCTTGGCACGTGTTAATACGTGGCCCGCATAGTAAACACACGTGCAGTAGACGTAGCGTGTAGGATACAGGAGCCCTGGGGGGTCCTGGTGACGGCCCAGCCTCCTGCGCTGTGTCCTCGCCCTGCGTGGACACCTCTGCCCACGTGGCTGGAGGGACAGAGAATGGCACTGGGTGGCCACGGCGGGGACCCGTCCTGGAAACCATCTTCCTGTGGGCAGAGACGCCGCCCACAACACACGTGGCTCCAAAGACTTGGTGCTCAGGCACCCGCCGCCTCCGGGTCCAGCTCCTCCCGGGAGCTTGGTGGGGGGGGCACCCAGAAGGCCCCACACCGGAGGCCTGGGTGCTGGTGGCGTGCCCCACACCGGTGCATACGTGGTCCTAGCGCAGCCACAGACCCCTCGCCAGTGCACACGTGGTCCTAGCACAGCACCAACCAGACACCTTCAGTGGCGGTGTGGGGACGGGCAGGGCGAGGAGCTCGTTCTCTGATGCCCCGACGTGCTTAAAAACGCGAGAGCAAAGATCTCCCCAACCATGAGCTGAGCATGTCAGGACCCGACGACTGGCGGGGTGAAACGCACTCTCCACACAGCGCGGCACATAGACGCATGCAGGCAGGGACGCAGTCCTCTACTCCTGCCATCGCGAGAGTGACGGCAGCTACGCTTTCCTCACTGGGGGTCGGCTTGACAAACACCAGCACGTCCGCACAGTAGGCTCTGCACGCCTCGTCCGTCAGGGGACAGTGACACAGCGCGGGGTAACAGCCTGCCTGGGAAACGGTGAGAGATCTGCCATGCTGCAGGACTCTGTGTGGTGTGTATGTGTGTACACGTATGTGTGTGCATGTGTGTTTGCATGTGTTTATGCATATGTGTGTTTGTGTGTGCCTGTATGTGCTGTGTGTGCATGTGCATGTACATGTGTGTACATGTGTGCTTGTGTGTTTAGGCATATGTGTGCATGTGCATATGCATGTGTTTGTATGTATGTGTTTATGAATATATGCATGTGTGTGCATGTGTATATTGTGTAAGTATGTGTGCATGTATGTATTTGTGTTTATATGTATGTGTGCGTGTGTGTTGTGTATGTGTTCATGTACATGTGTGTGTATTGTGTAAGTGTGTGCCTGTATGTATTTGTTTGTGTGTACATGTATGTTGTGTGCATGTGTTCATGTGTGTGTGTGTGTACACCTAGAAAAGCACCTGAAAGGCTGTTTCCCTGAGTGTCCCACACGGTGGTCACTCTGGGTTTCCAGGTGACCCCTCTGCACCACACGACCAGCCATCTTTCCACGTGTGTGCTTTTCTTCAACCATATATATGCTTTAATTGTAATTATGGAAACATGCATATAAAAAAGGCACAGGAAAAATTTATGTTTCCTTTTTTATCAGAAAACACAGTGACTCATTTCCATTTTTGGAGAAACTAAAACGATCTCATCTGCCCCCACCGTTCTCGCATCGTGGAGGCAGGAAGGGGAGAGGCCCCAAACAGGCACGCCCGCGAAAGGAACCTTCAGAACCCTGAAACGCCAGCGCCTGCACAGCACTCGCAGACAGAAGCCTCTCAGGACACAAGTGTCTTTTTAAAAAATAAACATTAACATATCTTTTGTTCTGCCTAAGCCAGAAGCCCCTTAAGGCTGGTCCCAGCCTGTGACAATCTGCTTTTCCCACTAGGTGGCTCCCAGACCCCCGGCTGCGTGTCCTCGTCCTCCCGGGAGGGAGGGAGGGAGGAGCAGACGTCCTCCGTGGCTCTGCCCTCCCCCACCTGCCCCCGCGAAGCCACGGCAGTCGCCCCCTCTCTCCCAGTTGCCCCAAATCCACAGGGTCGGTTTATATCAAGTCAACAGGCGAACTCGATTTCTTATACAACACAGAATGAATCAATGGAGAATTAATGAGATGTTTTCCCACCGAGACTCTAAGAGCTGTGGCCCCTCCACCTGGCCAAGCGCACTGCTCAGCGTGTCCAGTCTACGCGCACGGGGGCACCTGGGCCTCTCCACACAGCGCCACCGCTGCTCGCAAACCTCCTGCCGCCATCCTCCTGGCTGGCCACCCACGGGACCTCTCCCTGGTGGGGGGTTGTCAGAGACAGTCCCAGGCCCCCCTGCACAGCCTCCCTGTGGGGTGGGTCCCTGTCCCGGTGACTGAGGGCAAGGGGCTGCCCGGGGTGGCTCCTGAAACTATCCCCACGTGGAAGGGGCCACGCCCTGAACGCAGGGTGCCTGGCTCACACGTGTCTCTGGCATGATCCAGCAGTCCCTCTTCTTCCTCTCAGGAGCTCAGGAGCTCCCGGGCAGAACCCCACCAGCCCCACCTGCTCCGGCAGGTGCGAGACACGAGGGCTAGGGCGTGGGCGCTGGCCCTCAGGACACTCAGGAAACTACCCTGAGGACACCACAGCTCAGCTATGACCCGGCAGCCGGACCAGGCACAGAGAGACCATCGCACAAGGAGCCAGGAAGCCCCGACCAGCTCACAGGCCCTGGGGGCCGGGCAGCACTGGCGTGCCAGGGACAGGCCCGGGAGGCAGGGGTGAGCCCGGCCCAAGGAAATAGAGCCCCAGTGCCATGCCTCCACCTCCCCTCCCCTCCCCGCCAGGACCTCAACTGCCGAGACCACCGGTCCACACTCAACGTCACTGTCTGTTTTTCTTCCACACCTGATTCGACACATGGACTCTCCACACCTGTTGCAAACATCGGCTCAGGAAGGCCGGCCTCCGCGCCTCATCCTGGCCAGACTCTCCCTCCCCGAGGCTGGGTCTCGGGGTCCCCGGTGAGAACAGTTCAGATGACACCAGGCTCTGTCTGTGTCCAGGTCGAAACTAAAAGGAAAAACTAACAACCTCAGACAGGTGCTTAGCTTGAGGTCTTCCCTGTGGACTCCAAACACGGCGTCCCCAATGCTGCACCTCCCTCCTCATCCTCGGTGAGACTCGGGTCCCCGGAGGCGTCACGCTGTGCAGTCCTCGCTGCACAACAGCCGAACCCACAGCAGCCGACGGACGGTGAGACCCCAGGACGCGTCCCGGCGGGCCTGGAGCTGGGCTCAGCCACGGCTGGGAGGACGCCGCCGTCCGCAGGCCACTGGCGAGAGCCTCCCCGCGGCATCCCCAGCCCCAGCGCTGTCCCCAGAGGCAAGAGCCAGGGCAGAGGTGGGTGGACGGGGCCACACCTGGGTACAGCTTCTCCCGCCCCGCCACCCTGTCCATGAGGCGGGCCCGCCCTTCCATGTCCACCCCCTGAAGCCACAGCAGGTGGCCCCTCTCCTACCTGCACCCCTTCCCGACCTGCCCGCTTGCCCCTGCTCTGGTAACCCTGATGCTCCAGCCCTTCCCTGGTTCTTGTCAAAGAACTGCCGGGGAGGGGGTCCCACCGAGTGCCCAGCAAGCCGCCCCTGCGCACCAGGGCCCAAACCACCACGGCGCACCTTGGCAGAACGCCGGCGGGACCCATGACCTGCACGGCCTCCCAGGAAGCGGTCAAGTGCCCTGGAGGCCGACGGTCTCTCTGTCCCACCACAGCCCACCGGGGCCCACCGCCCTGCCCCCCTCTCAGCAGGCAGCGTCCCCACTTGTGGATGTGACAGAGACGGGGGACAGTGGAGGCAGAACACGCCTTCTGTGCATGCAGGGAACCACCTCCTGCCGACTCGGGTCTGTGCTGCGGTGGAGGCAGGGGCGGCAGGAAGTGGCTCCGCCTGGCGTCAGCCCTGCCGTCCTCGGCCAAGCTGGGCTCCTGCACCACCTGCAAAGTTTCACGGGGTCCACAGCCACCACCTCACCCCAGGTCTCCCAAGGCGTCGTCTACTCTTGAAACTTCACACTAAGATTGTAAACTAAAATAAAATCCTAAGCCCCCCTGCTGCCTGAACTGACCCCCTCTTGGCCAAGGGGCCCCGAGAAACACCTTAAAACTGAGTTCCCACCATGAAGGTGGGAGGTTGGACTCACCTCGTTATAATACGCCCCACCCCGTCTGGAGTTTAGATGCAAAAACTGACTAGTATTAATGAGACAGGCGGTCTGTGACAATAAGACACTAAGTGAGTCGCAGGACCTAAGGCCGCGCAGGGCAAAGCTTAAATCCCCTGCTGGCCAGTCTGCGCAACAGGTCACCTGAGTCTGTGTACTGACTGGTCTCACTCACAGACTTTCTCATCCTAATTTAAACTATTCCGAGCTTTTAGACAAAGCTACATTTCTTTAACCAATTGCAAATCAAAGAATCTTTGAACCCACCTGTAACCTATGAGCACCTGCTTTAAGATGTCCTGCCTTTTTGGGACAAACCAACGTACACCTGCCATGTGTGGATTTGCGACCTCCCCTGAGGAGTACCCGAGCTGGGCCCCACACCCTTGGCCACACCCAGAATTCCCAGACTTCAGTTTTCGTCATCCTAGTAGTAGAGTCACCAAATTTCATACAGTTTCAATTTTCATATCTACTTAGGTAATCAGGTCGGACAGCGTTTCACGTGTTCTGAGACATTTGAATTTTCTGGTCAGAATTCTCATTCACATGTTTTGCAAATGCTTCTTTTTAATTTATTTATTTTTTTTGAGACAGAGTCTCACTGTGTTGCCCAGGCTAGAGTGCTGTGGCATCAGCCTAGCTCGCAGCAACCTCAAACTCCTGGGCTCAAGGGATCCTCCTGCCTCAGCCTCCCGAGTAGCTGGGACTACAGGCATGCACCACCATGCCCGGCTAATTTTTTCTATATATTTTCAGTTGTCCGACTAATTTCTTTCTATTTTTAGTAGAGACAGGGTCTCCCTCTTGCTCAGGCTGATCTCAAACTCCTGACCCTGAGCAATCCTCCCGCCTTGGTCTCCCAAGAGTGCTAGGATTACAGGCATGAGCCACGGCACCCGGCCACAAACAGTTCTTGATCGTCTTTTTTCTAATGTTTGTCGAGGTCCCTCGTATTTCCAATGTGAAGTCTTTGTTGGTTATATATGTGGAACACATTTTCTCTCATTCTGTGACTGGCCTTTTAATTCTCCTTATAATATATTTTAATTAAGAGATATTCTTGATTTCATTGTAGTTGAAATTATCCACAATTTACTTCGTGGTTAGAGCTTTCTTCATCCTGTCTCACAATCTTCCTCTGCCTGGAGCTCTAACAACATCATATTCTTATATGAAACCTTCAAGGTCTGGCCTTTCTCATGAGTCCAGGCTGTGACTTTTCTGAGAGAAATTAGTACCAATTTCGGTTTTCTAATATGGATCAGTCTGTTTGCACCTTCCCTTTTTGCAGATCTTTCCACGTTGGCACATACAAACAACTCCCTCTCGAGATGAGCCGTGATTTGAAAGGCATTCAGGTGTGTGTGTAGGTATTTCCTGTCACAATGCACCAGAGAGTCGCTTCACACCTCGCTCTTCCGGCACCTGCGTGAACAGCCAACGCGTCGTTTCCTGGGCGTGGGGCTGGCGTGTAGAACGTAGGTGAAATTTTTAACTTTCCGAGATATCTGGTTTTCTTTCTTGCTTTAAAAAAAAAAAAACTCCCCCTCAAAATTATTAAAAATTCTCCCAGGTTTCCTTCTAGTACTTGTAAAATTCCATCATATTTTTAAGCCTTTGAACCATCTGGATTTTATTTTGGGGCAGGAGCTTGGGAAGGGCCCAGCTACCTCTCCTCCAAATGCCTGGCCAGTTGTGCCCAGATCTTTGCTGAATAATGCATGTTTCTCCACAGACTTGAAAGGCCTTGTTGCCATCACTCAATCCCCACACGCACTCGGGTCCGTGTGTGGGTTTCTGTGCTGCGGCTCCACTGTCTGTCTGTCCATGTCTAACGCCACTCGGGTCTGAATATTCGACCACGGCAAAGCTCTGCCATGTGTGATCGCCCATGCCCTGCATGCAGCTTCTCCTTCCTAACTGCTCTGTTCAGTGTTTATTTCTCAGCGTGGACTTCAAAACGAGTTCACTTTCTTTCTTTTTTTTTTTCTTTTCATTTCACGATATTATGAGGGTGCAAACATTGTGGTTACATTTTGCGTCTTCGCCTCACCCAAGCGAGGATTCCAGCCATGCCCATCCCCTCCCCTCCTCCCTGAGAGATGCATCCTCCGGCCGTCCGAGCCTGCAATTTCGTTCGGATGACAGACAGGGAGGACGTCAGCTGACAGGCTGGAAAACTCCAAGCCACCTGGGATTATGTGCGGGGTCCGGGACCCAGAGGAAGAGCTGAAGGCTGGGACCAGGTCCCGTGAAGGCAGATCCACACACAGCTCACCTTGATTGGAAAATATCAATAGTATAAATTGTTTCAAGTAATAGTCCAGCAACTTGGGCGTGATATTTATTTTACTGAGCACCTGGCATAGTATCTTCTAGGTCTGTCCGTGTTGTCACGGGTGACAGGGTCCCTCAGTCGGGGCCGAGTGGTCTTCCGCTGTACACGGAACACGGTTCCCTCACGCGCTCATCCACCGACCTCACCTGCCCTGTTCCGGCTGCTGTGAATGGCGCTGCAGCAAACACGGGGCGCAGACGTCGCCTCGGCACCCGACTCAGTTTCCCTGGAACGTCACCCAAGAGAGGACTGTGGATCGCACAGTAGCTCTGCTGCTGCTCTCTGGGGAACCTCAGTGCTGTGTCTCACATGGCGGCCCCGGCCTTGGTCCTGTCTCTCCACACTCTGATCTCATGTCTTTTTGGTGACAGCCACCCTGCCCGGTGCAAGGTGATACCTCAATGGAGTTTGATCTGCGTTTCCCAATGGGGTTTGATCTGGTGATTGATGACGTTGAGCATTTTCATGCACCTGTTGGCCATTTTTGCCTCATCTTTGGAGAAGTGTCTATTCGGGTCCTCTGCCCATCTCTGGATCGGGTTTTTCATTTTATTGCTACTGAGCCGTGTGGGCTCCTGACATATTTCTGATGTTAAGCTTATCAAACACGCGGTTCGCAGGCATTTTCTCCGGTCTGCGGGCGGCCTCTCCGCACCGTGCTCTCCTTTGCTGTGCAGAACTTCCACGTGACATGGACACGCCGGCCCGTTCTGCTCTGCTGCCTGTTTCCAGCGTTGTCACTGCCGAGACCGGCGTCGAGAGCCTGCTCCTGTGATCTCCTCTAGGAGTTTCACGGCTTCAGGGCTCACCTTTGGGTCTTTCGTGCATTGAGCAGATTTTTGCGTGTGGTATAAGAGGAGGGTCCCACATCACCCTCCCGAATGTGGACACCAGTTTTCCCAGCACCACTTGCTGCGGGCTGCCCTGTCCCTGGCATC